CGGCCTCGAAAATCTGGGCTCCGATCGGCCTTGTCGAGGAGAAACCGATAACGGCGGCAATGTCAACCAGCGAAGGCGGGAGGGCTGCGCAACTGGATTGACGGTAGCTCTGATACCATGTTGGTTATTTAGGATAAATTAGATTTCGTACATATTACTCAACAAACACAATAAACACTACTATGTGTACAAGGGGTAGTTCGGTAAATATTCATATATACAATAATATATATATACACTAACAAAATACATGTAAACAAGGTTTTGAATGATCAAAAAATTAATTTCAACTCGTCAGAAATTATATCAAACATTTTTAGACCCTTTACATGGAGTATCAATAATTCCTAAGAATGAGCACCAAATAATCGTTCAAAAACAATAATTAAAGAGATTAAACAATTTGCATACAAAAATAACTAACCTATTCAACAATTTGCAAGCGATCATTCTTCAATAGAAGGACATCATTTTGTCCTGCAGCGTCGCCTGCCTACAAGGCGTTGCAATTCTTCGGGGTCACAAAAAACGACAAGGAAAAATGCTTAGAAACCACCTTCACGTCAAAATAAATAAGCCCAGAGCTCGGAATATCCACCCGGATACCTTTCACAGGCATCCATAGAAACAACTCTTCAACTGCAACTCTAGACAAATTTGCGAGTCTTCCGCAATTTATTTTGCCCGAAATCTTCGGTTGGTACCTCATCCGAGCCTCGAATTTAACGTCACGGGGAAGGAGGCGGAAAACGCAAAAGGAAACGTCCGGAGGCAGGGTTGATGGTAAATTCCGAAATCCCCTTGAGGAAAATGCCAATACGTGTTCGCCAGGTATCGCTGACCTTGCGAACACATGTCCTTCGGCGAGCCATATGGGTTCCACGTATGCATCTCTGGCGCCGGAGGATTAAAATTGTAAAAATTTTCCACTTACGGAACTAGTTTGCGACATGCTCCAGTTACGAGAATAAAAGAATCCAATTACGGGACTAAAATATCAATTTATCCTAAAAAATTTATAAATAATATTTTTAGTTATAAAAAGAAATTGTTATAAAATAATTAAAAATAAAAATTTGAGATGTTTCATATTTGAAATTGTTGTTAATTTATTTTCGAATTTTTTTAGATTTATCGAACAAATCTACTGAGGGACTCGTTGAGTTAAGCTTCGACCGGGCAAAATTTCCAACAAAAATAATAACAAAATTTTAAGATTTGTTAACATGAATTTTAATTTTAATTTTTTTGTTTTAACAGTAAATTCTAGTGATTTGAATTGAAGATAAATATTTCCTTCATCCACCAAATTAAATTTACTTCCGCTTTCATTTTTAGTCTGTCCGCTAAATTTATCACATTACTAATTTTGGCAAACTTAACAAATCAATATTTAACCATTATATTTCATTCAATACTTATTTACAACAAATATCACTACATTCATTACATTCTCTTCTCATTTTTTAATTTCTAACTTATTTTTCAAAAATACTTTCAACTACCTTTTTACTTTTATCATTTTATATGTGGCCATGTTATAAAAAATTATGATAAATATTATGTCTGTCCTATCTCATTTTTATTTTTAGTAAATTTATTCCTCTTAAATTTATATAATAAATATAAATTAATTTAATTGATTTTCTAGCGTGTTTGTTTGGGGATTGGATTTTAAATACAAACCCCAAACAAACATAAGTATGACTGCTCAAAACTCTTTTATTTATATCTTTCATTAATAAATAAATATTTTTATCTATATTTAAAATTTCTCATTTTTATTATAAAATTAGTTTTAAGTTGATTATAAATAGAATAAATATATTTTTTATTTATTTGTTTGTATTATATAAAGAAAATTATGTACAAAATGATATTCATATTGAATATATTTTATTGAAATATAATAGTAAAAATATTTAAAATATCAACAATACTATTTACATAAAATAATAAAATAATATCATAACTTATTATTAATAATTTATTAATCTACACTATCTAAAATATTGTGTCTCTAACCAAATGGATCATCTGCTAGGACCGAGGAAGTACTTCATCCATCTCGCATAATTTGTATTTATTTTCTATTTTCTTCATTCCTATATAATTTGTCATTTTTATTTTTGAAAATTTAATTATATATTTTAATTACATTTTAAATTTTAAATTTATAATTTTAATTAAATTATTTAGTTATTTCAATTTTAATATATAATTATTTTTATTATACAATAACTATTTTTTTAATATATTTTTTAATTATTTATTAATTTTATTTTATCTAAATTCTTGTATACGAAGTAATTAATCCAAATTAGATTGGACAGATAGTATACAATTATAAGTTACATTATTCATCCAATTTTTTTCCCCAAAAACAACAAATCAGACACCTATTTTTTATTTTTTATATTATACTAAAAATCAATTTTGCATTCAAAACATCAAATCAATACCTATTTATATCACATTGTACAACTATTCAAATTCAAAATTTTTACTATTCAAATCCCAACTCAAAATTCAAAGCCAAGCAAACACACCAAATAGAATTCAATGTAGAGAGGCATAGATAATTTTTTCTAGGGCCATCGTGTATGTAATGTGGCCATATGAACGAGTGGAAAAGTTGAGGCACAGTAATAGTAATAAAAATAAAAATAAAAAAAAAAAATAATAATAATAATAATAATAATAATAATAATAATTAATATGTCACATGGACCGCCACCATATCCATAAATATCTATCCATCCCATTCCCACCCATACACACACGCCATTAATTAATTTATTATCGATATGCTATAAATGAGCCTCATTTTGCGATTACACCAATCCTTATTTTGGCACTCTTATGGTTGCTTAGATACGAGGTTATCTGTGTCTTTGTTTGGGGGTTTGGATTTTGAGTTAAAGATTTAAATAGTAAAAATTTTGAATTTAAATAGTTGTATGATGTGATATAAATAAATGTTGATGTAATGTTTTGAATATAAAATTGATTTTTAGTACAATATAAAAAATAAAAAATAGGTGTTTGATTTGATATTTTTTGAGAAAAAAAATTGGATAAATAGTATAAATCTAATTCAATTCCCCCAAACAAACACACTAATAATATCATTTGAATTCATATAATAATAGTTTGGGGAATGTTTAAGGTGCACCAATCTGATTTTCAAATAACTACTTATAATATATACAAATTGTACATATTTTTATTACACACATCACATGCAGTGTGTGTGATGTGTGTAATAAATGTACGGGTTGTTTGTTCAAAATTATATATGTAATATGTTAAAATAACTGTTGTGTTGTTTATTTATAATTATATATGTATTGTATAAGAGTATATTATGTATTAAAATTAATTGTTGTGTGTATTGTATGTGATTATAACATATGCGGTAAATTTATGTGTTGTATTTATATTATATTAATATAAAGAATGTGGTGTCAGAAAAGTATACTATTTGTTATTTCATTACTTTGTTAGTTTATGTGCTTTATTTATATTATATTAATATAAAAATGTGCTTCCATAAATAATATTGTGTGTCGTTTGTTATTACATAGTATATTGTTCAGGAAAGTCTGAATTTTAAATTCAACAATTTTACATACAGCCAATACTTTGATATGATATACAAAAGTCACAATAAAGTGGCACTAATTTAAGTTAGAAACTAAAACTTTAAATTACTCTCATTTCATCAAATAAAATTGGTCCAACTTTTTTTATTTCATGGTTCCACTAAATTATTCCTAATTATTAATAAAATAATAATTAACAAGTAATAACTTAAATCACAACTAAAAAAAAAAAATGATAAAAGAAAGAAGCCAACACCGTCACAAGTTTAGAATTTAGATGTGGTTTAAAAAATACTTTCACTTCGTCCGTCCCACGTTGATGTTTGGGTTACCGTAGATACGAAAATTTTGGATAAGTATAATTAATATAAAATTAAAAATGTATTGGTAAAAATTATTATTATATAATATAAATAATTATAAATTAAGATTAAAATAACTAATTAGTTTAATTTAAATTAAAAAATTTAAAATGATATAAAAGTGTATAATAATTTTCTAAAAAAAAAAAAGTGACATGGAATGTGAGACGGATAGAAACGACAATGTGAATATAGTAGATGAGACGATGAGAGTAATAATAATGATATTTCAATATTTTATTGTACGGTATTACAGCGTAATCTTTTTAGAATAATACATTAATTTTTTTAATAAAATATTATATTTAAATTATTATTATAAACAAAATAACAATTAAACACTAATAAAACAACATTTTTTTAATAATATGAATAGATATTAATGATATATTTTTCAATATAAATTTATTTTATAATATATTATAATATTATTTTTAGTTACTCACAAATACACAGTATATTTCTATTTTAAATTGTTAAATTATAAAATAATTATTAAAAAAATTATCTTTTTTTTTCTATATAAATTTCTAATTTACTATTACATCATTAATTTTTACATTAAAAATAAAAAAAAACAACAGAAATAAAATTATCTTTAGTATAAGGAAATACTAGCATAATATCTATTTTGCATTTTTTAGTTTTTTCAAATTTCACGGAAATAGTACTCCATTCGTTTCACTTACCTATTTATTTTTCTATTTTTATATATCTCACTTATTATGTTATTTTTTTTTTATTGAAAACAAAATTATAAATTTTAATCTTATTTTAAATTATTTAATTTATAATTTTTTTAATTTTAGTTAGATTGATTAATTATTTTAATTTAAATTTAAAATTATTTTTATTATATAATAATTATTTTTATTAATAAATTTTTAATTATATACTTAATATATTTTCCTTAAATTTTCGTGTATGTAAAAAAAAAATAAAAAATATATATATATATATATATATTGTAGCCTGGATTGAGGAAATAATAAATTTTGATTTGATATTTAAAAAAATAATAAAAAAAATAAAATTATCTAAATAAACACGCCTATTATTATTATTTTTTCTTTTTCCTTTTTTTCTGAATATTTGAATTAAGCAAAAGTAAATCGACATTACATTTATGATATTGAATTTCCTCAACTGTCTATACGCCTCGTCCAGCCTGGCTAGCATTTATGCGGGCTGAAACTAACGTATTTATTAGCCAGATTATAACTGACACGTGTCCCCTGCTGCTGCACATTACCTATTATCGACAGTGACCCCTCCGTCGCCGCAAACGCCAGGCAGAACTTCCCATCGCTGCTCACCGGAATCAAGTAATTCTCCGGCGGCAGCGCCAGACTCTTCCCGCCGGCGAACTGCAGCCCTACCGTCGGGACACTCACCGTACTCATCGACGACAGATCGTAGCACGTGTCGAACAGCGAGAACCCGTCGGACGGCGGCAGGTTCCGGCTCATGCTCTTGAACGTGTCCCGGAAGGCGGCGTAGACTTCCGACCGGAGCCGAGTCACCGCCGTGCCGGAGTCCACAATCACCCCACCCCGGCCGTCGGCGCTGATACCAAATAAAGACTCCGGAATCTGAACCGGACGGCCGCCTACGTGGATTCCGGTGATGGCGACGTAGCGGTAGGTGGCAGCGTAAGAGTTCGTAAGCAGCGGCGCCACGACGGCGTCCGACGGCGGCGCTGTGTTGAAGTCCAGCGTCGAGGCGGCGCTGGAGTCGCGTTTCACCAGACAGTACGAAAACGACGTCGCCCCGATCTGCGACGGCAGCGACAGCGCGCCGGCGCCCATTCCGAGAAGACCGGCGGAGCCGGCGAATAAACCCTCGTTGTCGTGGCCGCACCCGACGGCGACGTTCGGCACGGACCCGGTCGAGCCAAACGAAACCGTTTCGGTCGCGAGGTCCCCCAAGGTCCGGGACCCGTCGCCGTAGTCCACCTCGTAAACACAGGTCCCGTCCGTTCCACAGCCGCGCACGTGGAGCGCGGCGCAGGTGGAGGAGCCGCACGTGAGGCGGCGGTAGGTGGAGGATTCCGACGGGTTAAAGACGGGGTCCGATTGGTGGTAGCAGGCGGTGCAGGGCTGACATTGGAGCCACGTGATGTCGCTGCCGGTGTCGATCACCATATAAAATTCCTTGGGCGGCTGTCCTAATCCGACTCTGGCGAAGTACTCGCCGCTGCCCTGGCGGACGCCGGAGGTGACCGGCGACTGGAGGAGTTCCTGGCCGGCGACGATGGCGTCGGCGCGGGCCTTGTCGGCGGCGAGGCGGGAGAGAGTGAGGGCGGTGTAGTTGTTGCGGTAGGGGTTGGGGAGAGGGAGGGAGGAGCGAGAGTGGAGAGGGAGCGAGAAAGAGGAGGCGGAGACGGAGAAGGCGGCGTCAAGTGAATAATTAACGGCGTTAGGGGTTTCGACGAGGTGAGGTTGGAAGATTTGACGGGTGAGTTGCAGTGAAGAGGAGACGTCGAAGGGTTGGAATGGGAGGTTGCTGTCTGAGGAGCGAGAAGTGGCGAGGAAGAAGAAGAAGAAGATGAAGATTGTGGAAGTAGGGAAATGGAATTGGGGAATGGCCATTTTTGCTGGGCAAGAGAAAACTAGAGATGGAGATGAGGACGATGATGATGGCCACAGCAGAGCATTTTATACAATAGTACTACTACTAGTGTTTAGTCTGTAAACAACAGATCGGATCTTCTTGCCTATTAACACATCTTATCTATTTTCACATTAAAGTGTATATATAGATCTTTCTTCTTTTTCAATACAACAGTCTTATTTATTATATTTATCCGTCTCATTTTTATAAATATTCATATCACCGTAAAATTATTTTTATTTTTTATTATTATTATTACACAAATACCACTACTTTTAATACTAATACACTTCTAAAGACATATCAATATAATATTAATATTATATAAATTTTATATCAAACTCGAATAAAATCATAATTTTGAAACATTAGCAAATATTATATATATATATATATAATATGTGTGATGATAGAATTTATTTTTAGGATAAAAAATACCGTAAATTGGGGTTGGGTTCGGTTCGGAGACAGCTAGCTAGCTGTTGAGAGAGGATAGCATTTATTACAGGAAAAGTGGGTTTTTTGTTTCTTTTTTAGGGAAATGTGGTGCGCAGGCAGATGACCTCTACCGTCTCTCTAACTACTGTTTTAGTGTATTGTCATCTGTTTTTTTTTTGTTTATTTTCTGCTTCAATAAAAATTTAATACTAGTAATACTTTCTTCCGTCCCGCTAATTTGTCATATAATCTTTAAAATAATAATATTTAATTAATTAATAATAGTAAATTATAATATTATTTTCAATTGAGATACCGAATCTGGATATGTCCATTATTTTTTATCATCCCGTTATCTTTTATTTGATCACCGAAGATACTTTATTTTATTTTATATTCACAATAAATATTTTTATTTTATTTTTTTTAATTAATTCGTATTCTCATATCTTATATATATGCATATATATTTTTTTCTAATTATATTTTTATTTTGTATTAATTAATTAATCAATATTATTATATTATATTATTTATTATTATTTTTCAATATTTTTTTATTAAAAATTTGTGGAGAAAAATTATATTATTTATTATTTAATTATATTTAGTTTTAATTTTAAATTTAAATAAAGACAAACGGGTACCGAAGAAATTTTCGAATTCACTTTCCTCTTATGACTTTGAAGAGCTACGAGTTCAAAGTAAAGAAGTTGCATCACAATTCGCTCGTATGACACAACTGAAGAAAGAAAAAATCAAAAGCAGCGAGTGTATTGCAAAAATGAAATTCTATTGAACACTAGTAGAAAAAAATAATTTGACGGAATACGATATGCTTGTTAAAGCTAAATTGTTCGAAAAAATTGTTTTAAATATTGTTTGGATTATATTTATTTTGTTCTATATTATTCAAATTTTCTTGTATTTTATTTTATATTTGTAGGCATTAAAAATTAAATGTCTAAATTAAATTAAATATCATATATATTAGAATAGAATAAAATTCTGGCATAATAAATATGTGATATTTAATTATGCACATACGTTAATTTTTGTATAATAAATATCAATTATTAATGTAAAAATCTGCTCAAAATAGAAGATATTGTACAAATATTACATCCATAAATAGAGCCATAATAAATTTGGCAACAAAATAAATTAATCTTGTCAACAAATTAAGTATATAAATTAATATCTTCCAAAAAATGAAATAATATAAAAATTTTGAGAAGATAGGAAGACTCACAATCAAATCCTTCAAGATTGGAAAAACAACATCCTATGAAAAAGAAAAGATTATAAAATCTTTATGTTGATCAATCGGACACGCCACGTGGCACCATCCGAAAAGGAAACCAAGCCACCATCCCCTATAAATAGGAGTCTTGGCCATTTCATTACACACCGAAGTTCATTTGAAAACTCGCACAATGGTAAGAGACTCTCTGCAATGTTATTCATTGTCCTTCGTCGAAAAGTCACCGATTTGGACAAACGATCTAATATTGGTTGACGAATCGATGGAGTTAACGTTTTTCATCGTATGCTCGAGCCAGAGGACGGATCAAAATTCCAAAGCCATCAAGAAATCCATCAAAGCCAAGGAAGAGCCTCCAAAGTCCCTCCCAAAGCTTCAAGATGTTCGTCGCGTTCGTCATCAAAAGCATTAATTTGGCCCTCTTCGATCCACAAGTCAAAGGGACACACCACTAAAGCCGTTATGGAGCATCAAATTTACCTCCTCAAAAATCAAATTCCCTCGGATCATCTAAAGGAAACATCAATCCAAAGTCGATAATCAAAATCGTCAACACGGATATCAAAGCCCTCCAAAAACCGGTAAAGCCAAACCGAATACCAAATTCCTTTGAATTAAATAAGTCATTCAAATCCAAATTGAAAAATAAATCGACCCGAAAAGATACTTACATAATCTAAATAGAAGATAAAAATTGCATATATTCCACTCTATTTTTTTCATTTAAACATCGCACTACTTTTTATCTATATTATAATATAAATTTTCTTAATAAACCCACATAAAATATAATAAAAGAAAAAGAATTCAGATAAAGGATTACATATTATTGAATTTAACATAATAAATATTAGTTAGATTAGTACTCTTTTTGTTTTAACTAAATTGTCTTATTTAACTTAGGCACAAATTATTAGGTATTATATAATTAGTAAGTAATGAAAAAATATATTAGTAAAAATAATAATTATTTAATAAAAATAATTATAGATTAAAATTAATATAACTAAATAATTTTATTAAAATAAAAAAAATTATAAATTTTAAATATAATTAAAGTATCTAATTATTTTTCAAATAAAAAAATAACATGAAATATCAGACGTATAAAAATGACAATATAGACATAATATATAGGATGAAGAAAAAAAATGACATAAAATGTCATATGTACAAAAATGACAATATATAGGATTAGGGGTGAGCAAAATATCTGAAATCCGAAAATTCAATCCGAATCAAACCGAAATTTAAAATTTGGTTCGGATTTTTCGGATTCCCAGATCGAATCGGATTGAATTTTTAACAAATTTCGGATTTTCGAATCAGATCGGATCGGTATACTTAAAATCCAAACAATCCGAAATATGACATTTTAATATATTTTTTTATTATACATATTTAATATTTTATTAATAAAATATTATATTTTAATATAAAAAACTCAAATTTATTAATTATATTTTAATATATTTAATTTGTATATTATATATATTTAATATTATAAAATAATAATAAAATACAAAAGAAATTTAAAAATTAAAAATATATATATATATTTAGAATTTCGGATTTTTCGGTTTAGTTCGGATTTTTTTGTTCAGATTTCGGTTATTTCGATTCAGTTCGAATTGATTTTTTCAAAAATTTTGGATTTTCAGATTGGTTTGGATTTGGCAAACCAAAAATCCGAATGCTCACCCATGTATACTATGGAGAGAGTGTTTAAATACAACCGTTTTGAATCCAGCGTAATCGTATTCAAATGTGATCGTTTTGACTATATGCAAAATTTAGTCAACTTTTTTCTCTTAAAAAAAAAATCTAGTATGACATTATAAACTTTCACGTGAATGACAACAAACGGGAGGATGATGTGACTCTTAAAACTCTGATATCATGTTAAATGATTTAAACGATTGTCTCACTTAAAAATTTAAACTTTTAGCGATGCATATTATTAATTTATTTATCTACAAACGAGAGTTCACCAACAAAACTAATGTTAAAACCAAGATTTATTAATTTTATTTTGTACATGACCAAAAATCGCTTGTATATATTATAAATGAATTTTTATTTGTTTATCAAATGTATCAAATATTGAGAGTTTGTTTGGTTTTGATTTTAAATTGAGATGATGATTTAAATGTTTGTTTAAATGATATTTTGATGTGATATTTAAAAGAAGAATTATATTTTTATTGAAAATAGTACCAAATGTATAATTCCTATAAAAAAAAGAAGTAAAATAAAATAAAAAATTGCCAAACAAACAAAGTCCATTGTTGACTTAGTTGGTTGGTCTTTTGTGGGTCTTTGTTGTGTGGGCTCCTCTATTTTTTGGGCCTTTAGATATTAGATTGTGGTTGATCATTTGGGTTGTCACCTATTGGATTGTTGATTTGGGCTTTCTGTTGGATTTTTTTTTTTTTAAAAAAATATTTTTTATCATATAATTTGGGTTGAGTTTCATATTGTAATTTTTTATTATGATATAAATTAATACTCTTTTCATCTATAATCGGATCATTTGGAATTTTGTAGTAAAATAAGAAATAATAATATTTTATTAGCTAGTAGAAGTATATAAATTTTTTTGATATTTTTGTTTTTTTATGCATAAAGTAATTGTAAATGTAATGATATGATTGTAATTTAAATAAAAGTTAATGATATTTTAGTATTAGTATATGATTACTTTTCTAAAATATGAAAGAACTATTTTAAAATAGAACAAATGAAAAAGAAAAAATAATACTTTGAATTAGAATGAAATTAGTATTTTTAAAAATATATATATATTTACATATATTTTTAAGTTACTTTTTGTCCCTATTTACTGATAATACATGTATTTTAAAAAATATATTATATAAATATTTATCTTTTATTCAATATTTTTTATTATTTCTATAAGTTCTCAAATCTTCAAAATATATCTAAATATAACTTAAGTTTCTAAAATTATTCACCAAAAATTTTATATAATTCAATAAATTATTTATGAATTTATTTGTTTAGTATGTTAGTTTTGAGGTATTTTTGGTGTGAGATATAAGAAATTATATTGATAATATAAAAAATAATACTTGATTTTTTTAAAAGAATAAAGTATATAAATTATTTATATTACATGGATATATGTATATATTGTTTTTTCTATTAATATTCATCAGAAATTGTACCAGCAAAAACTTATTTGGTGCACGAATTATTATTCTTTGTAGATTTCTCACAATTTTTTACTATTCATGACATTATTTTTTCTTTTATAAAATATCAAATCAAATGACTCTCTTTTATTTTGTATATTATATTAAAAATTAATTTTATATTTAAAATACCATTATCAATATTTATTTATATCAACTATTCAAATACAAATTTTTATTATTAAAAAATTCAAACTTAAAAATCAAATCCACGGACAAACACACCTGGTTCCACAAATATCATTGGAGTCTTTTTTTTAAGAAAATTTGTGTGTTTGGTTACCGGTTGAATTTTTTGAGTTGAAAATTGGATTGAAATAGTTTGTTTCTTTACCAAAACCTTTTTAACATATTTTCTCAAAAAATAAATAGTTGATTTATGTTATTTTTATTCAAACGTTTATTATTTTTATATTATCTATATTATTTTATTTACACATTTATTATTTTTATATTACTTTTATTCACACATTCATTATTCTTATTCAAAACTTTTTTAATATATTTTTATTCACACATTCATTATTCTTATTCAAAATTTTCAATATATTTTTATTCAGACATTCATTATTTTTATATTATCTACACTAATTTCTATACCTCACTTAAAAAAAAAAAATTCAAATCAAAATACAAAATAAACATACCTAAAGTGATTTATTTAATTAATAGTTGATTTTATGTTGTAATATATGTATGATTAAAACAAATTAAAATATGTATTTAATTATTTTAATAACAATATATAATATAAATATTAACTTGTATAGAATAAAATTTTATTATAATACAAATAAATAAAATATACAAATATTTATTTTATAATTAAAATAAATTGATTTTATAAATAATCGACGAGTTTTGAAATTTTATAAATATATTTATTTATTAAAAAGGGAGAAAATAAAAATAAAAAATTGAATAAATTTCAAGTAAGTTTCATATGTTTTTTTTGTGAAAAATCAAAAATATATTTCCCAAAAATATTAATATATTTTACAAACTTATCATTTTTATATTACTTACAATATTCTTTATATTTGAAATAAAAAAAAATACCGATTCATCCAAAACACAAAACAAAAACACCCAAAATGATACTTCTTTTAGTTGGAAAACATGATTTGTCTGTTTAATAAAAGAATTTGAAGTGATATTTTTTAATATAAAAAATTATGTAAATAATATAAAAATAATAAATATGTAATATATTATTTTTTAAGAATTTTATGTTTTATAAAAAGCACATACACCGGAGTATATATTTTTTATAAAAAAATAAAAAATAAATAAAAATTTAAAATTTTAAAAAAAAAATTAAAACAACCACTCCAAATGACGAAGCGGAATTTCTTTTTATTTTGATGTGTTCATGATAGGGTCTGCTCAAATAAACTTTTAGGCAGTTATAAAATAATTAGCTTTGGGCCGAAAAGTAATAATTAAGCCCAATAAAAATGTGCCACATGGCCCATTAAAATTAAGTATAAATAGAATTTGTTCTTGCCAGAGGCGCTGCTTCTCGGTTTGCTCTGCCTCTGCACAGCAGCGTAGAAACCCTAGCTCCAAATCGAAATCCATCGTCTTCGGCGACGGCGCTAGTGACCAGTTCCGGAACCGGAACCGCGATCGTTTCATGCTGAGCTATTAGGTTTCTGATTCTCACTTTTTGCATGTAAGTTGGCTTGTACCTAATCTTCCTCATCCTGTGACGTTTGTTTTTGTGCATTATCTGAATAAGTGGATGCGAAATTGTTCTGTTAAGTTTCTGTTTGTAGTTGCTGAACACTGATTGTTTTATTGGGGTTTTTTTTTTAAATATGTATAATTTATATTCACAGTATGTGTGGTTAATTGATTTCTGATGTGCGTTTATTTTGTTGATTTGGAGCAGTAACCGGTAGAATATCTTGATTTTGGGACGCTTGTTAGCAATGACTATAGCTTATCGGAAGAGCGTACCCATGATTACCTATTCAGAGGAAATTGTTGATGGTGAACCAATTTATGTATCCTCAAATTGCCTTCCGGTGAAGGCCCTAAGACATGAGCCTGCGGGGCATTCTTTTCATGCTGCTGCACTTAGGTTGATAGGTCACTGTGTTGAGGTCGACACAGATGATGATGATGGAAAGGATGCTGCTAGTGAGAAGGAACATGTCTATGTAGAGTCATGGGATTCGTACAGCAGTAAGTCGAAGAAGAAATCTGGCAGTGAAGCCAAGCAACAAGACCATTATGCACTGTTGGGGTTGAGCCATTTGAGGTATCTTGCAACCGAGGATCAGATAAGAAAGAGTTACAGGGAGGCTGCGTTGAGGCATCATCCCGACAAGCAGGCTGCTCTTTTGCTTGCTGAGGAAACAGAGGCTTCTAAGCAGGCAAAGAAGGATGAGATAGAGAATCACTTCAAAGCAATTCAAGAAGCATATGAAGTGCTGATTGACCCTGCCAAGCGAAGAATCTATGATTCCACGGATGAGTTCGATGATGAAATCCCTCATGATTGTGCGCCGCAGGACTTCTTCAAGGTTTTTGGGCCTGCTTTTATGAGGAATGGGCGATGGTCTGTGACCCAGCCAATCCCATCTTTGGGTGATGACAAAACTCCTATTGAAGAAGTGGATAAGTTCTATAACTTTTGGTATGTCTTTAAAAGCTGGAGGGAGTTTCCTCATGCGGATGAGTTTGACGTTGAGCAAGCAGAAGGGCGTGATCACAGGAGATGGATGGAAAAGCAAAATGCCAAATTGTCAGAGAAGGCAAGGAAGGAAGAATATGCACGCATCCGTACTCTAGTCGATAATGCCTATAAACGAGATCCTAGGATTCAGAGGAGAAAAGAAGAAGCGAAAGCTGAGAAGAAGAGAGCCAAGGAAGCGAAAATTTTGGCGAAAAAAATGCAGCAAGAAGAAGCAGCTCGAATTGCCGAGGAAGAAAGGAAACGAAAAGAGGAGGAGAGTAAAAGGGCTGCTGAAGCTGCTTCGGTTCAAAAGAAATTGAAGGAGAAAGAGAAAAAACTTGCTCGTAAGGAACGGAGCCGCCTCAAAAAGCTGTCGACTTCTGTTGTGTCTCAGTGTTTACTCGATCTAAACGATGATGATGTGGAGAGTCTGTGCACATCTCTTGATAGAGAGCAACTTCAAAATTTGTGCGACCAGTTGGAGCGAAAGGAAGATCATCTCGAGAGAGCTAAACTCCTCAAAGAGAAGCTCGAATCAAACCAAAAGGCAAAGGAAAAGGAAAAAGAAAAGGAAAAGGCGGAAGATGAGAAGAGCACAAAGCAAAACGGTTTCGTTCATATCAACGGACTTGCTACTGCCGCTGCTAACAATTCTGAAAAGCCTTGGAGTAAAGAAGAAATCGAACTTTTGAGGAAAGGCATGCAGAAATATCCTAGAGGAACTTCCCGAAGGTGGGAAGTGATTTCCGAGTACATCGGGACGGGCAGATCAGTGGAAGAGATTACAAAGGCTACAAAATCAGTTCTTCTGCAGAAGCCTGATTCTGCCAAAGCTTTCGACTCCTTCCTCGAGAAAAGAAAGCCCGCACAAGCAATAGCTTCTCCTCTTACAACCCGAGACGACGTCCAAGGCTCGGTGACTACCACTGCAAGCTCGGAGGAAAACAGTGACGGAACAGGCACAGGCACAGATGAAGATTGGTCAGGCGCACAGGAAAAAGCTCTCGTCCAGGCTCTAAAAACCTTCCCTAAGGAAACTGCCCAGCGCTGGGAGCGAGTTGCCGAAGCAGTGCCTGGGAAAACTGTTGCCCAGTGTAAGAAGAAGTTTACGACAATGAAAGAGAGCTTCAGGAACACTGCCAATAGAAACAACAATGATTCGCAGGAGGAGGGGTCGGGGTCGGCTACTGCTAGTGTCCCCTCAACGACACCATCTTCGTCTTCATGTTCTGAGGAAGATGCGTGGTCGGATGTGCAGGGGAAAGCTTTGTTGCAAGCCCTCAAGTCGTTTCCGAAGGACACGAACCAGAGATGGGAGCGCGTCGCGGAAGCAGTTCCGGGGAAAACTGTGATTCAGTGCAAGAAAAAGTTTGCATCGCTTAAGGAAGATTTCAGGAACAAGAAGAGCGCAGTGTAGTAGTCATCCTACACCAGTTTTGCCGGGTAACTTACTAGTAGTAGTAACATCTTATGATGTTCTTATTCAGATATATAATATGCATGCATGCGTGGCCATCCTATTATTTTTTAAACTACATTACATTCTATTAAATATTATTTACTATTATTGGATATTGATTGTGTTTCTATCGTAGAAATTAATTAATTAAATTTCCTTATCTTATTATATAAGTGGAGTTTGTTTTAAAATTGTGTTACCGAGTTTGATCAAACCAACTCGACTGACTCACTGATGGAGTAATTTCTTGAGTATAGGATTTTTAGCAGCATGGCTCGAAATTTTCTTGTCACAAAGGAGGACATGAAGTTTGTTTCGAAATTTACAACTTCACTTTTAAGTTTTACTCCTGATTTTATTATTTCAACTTTTTATTTTTCAAAAATATCAGATCAAACATCCAATTTTTATTTATTTTATTATACTTAAATCTAATTTTACATTCAAAACATCACATCAATACATATTTATATCACAAATATGCTACATCCGTTTGACTCTAAGAGATTGTAAGGATTTGATTTTTAAATATTAATTATTATATCAAAATATGAAAAAATATATATATATGCAAAAATAAAGGTTTGATTTTTAAATATTAATTATTATATCAAAATATGAAAAAAAAAGAAAAAAAAAGCAAAAATAAGGATTTGATTTTTAAATATTAATTATTATATCAAAATATGGACAAAAAAAAAAGCAAAAATAAGGGTTTAATTTTTAAATATTAATTATTATATCAAAATATGAAAAAAAAAAAAAAAGCAAAAATAAGAATTTAATTTTTAAATATTAATTATTATATCAAAATATAAAAAATATATATATATTTATTAGTATAAGATAAGTGTGACACAATAAACTTTAGAAGGCGGGAAGGAGGAAGAATATATTTAGAAGTATCAACAATGGTGCTTGAATTAACTAATAATAATAATGCGTGTATAGGAGAAATGATGTGCATAATACACGTATATTTTAGTATATAATATAAAATATAATGCATAATGGATTATGCAATATGCATAAAATTCCTATAAAAAACAAAATTCCGTTCTAACAGAGATTATGATCATACTTTTCACCTAATCACAAGACTGAATCCATTGGTAAAATTCACATAAAAAGACAAACATAATTATAAATTTATATTAACAATACCAATATAATAATTAATGTACACATTATATATGTTTAAAGAGAGAAAAAGAGAAGCTACTTAAGGAAGCAGAGCAGTATAAACAACACAAGCAATCCATATACCAATTAGTGTGTCCAAACCTATATATATATATATATATATATATATCTGAGGCTTCCATTCTTCAGGAAACAACAACAAAAACATAAAAAAGAAAACAGAACAAAAACAGGTTTGTATAATGAGAGTTGGGACCTTTTCTATACATCATACACAGGTAGTCGTTCCTCGATGGCAACGCGGCATATCGGGCATTTCTTACATTTATCGGAGCATGAGCTGTTACACCAATATTATATGGATATATTAGTCGGTATGCATAACAACGGAATACATACAAGATAAAGTTGGATGTTGTTGAACTACTTATTGGTACCTGCAAAGAATGCGGTGTCTGCAAGGAAGAAGTACCGTGCAAATCTCACCCTCGAAGCAGACTCTACACAGAATTTTTTCCTGAGCAGGGCAACGAGTACATTGTCATTTATATGGAATTGATGTCAAGGAGATTTATATATCGATTTTTTTAAGATAATTCTATACAAAATTACAGGGAAAACAAACGAATTGTCCTATTCTTTTCAAGGTAGAGCTATCTACAACCCAATATATATCAAAACTTTTCTCATAATAAAATAAAAAGAAAAAGAAAAATTCACATTGATTGTGTTTAGCTTTCCATTTTCACTATCTATGCACGGTAACCTACTCTATCGCCCACCAAATTTATGTTTACTTTTTATTTATGTTTTTTCGCCAAATTTATGTTTATTTTTTATTTATGTTTTTCCACCAAATTTATACTTACACTATGAACTCCATGAATCTAGGAACTTTTGCTCGCATTGTATTATTTGGTCTATGTACCAATACTGATAACATTCGAGATTATGTAAGATTATACACGAAAGATCCTTTTTTGGCTTATTAAATGCCAGCTATTAACCTAGCCCATAGCAACAATTTTTTCTATCCGTTTATATTTCAATCCTACTTTAAAAGATAAATAACAACTTTGTCATCGTTACTATATCAGATATACTATCAATTAAAAATAGGTGTGTTTGTTTTTTTATTTCAAATAAAAATTCTACTATTCAACCGTTTTCAATTAAATATATTATTCTTTCTCACGGAAATTATATCAAAATACTATTTAAATTAAAACTAACTCAAAAATTCAATTTCAAAATAATAAAAAAGCCTATATTGACTAATGAATTTTTCAAGATACCGCTCACAAATTTTTTACTTTTATATTGATTTTTTTTTAATATTCGTGGCCTGTCAAACATGTACATTTTCCAATTGGATGGAGTATTATTTTCCTCAAAAAAAAAGTCATATGTTATATATACCTATTTTGAATTTAATGCCGGTACATATAAAATTATTTTTTATTCAAAACGTCGTATAAAATATCTATTTATATTGCATCAAATAAATATTTTCTATCAAAACTTTTACAATTTTCAAAACACCGTGACACCAAAACAAAAACAAAACAAACTTTAAATATCGAAGACATATAATTGAGGAAAATGATCTCTTATTTGCTTTTTTTGGCCAGGCCTGCCCATAGCTTTGGACAGTATCAGAGGCATAAATCAAACTCATTCTCTCAGTTTAACAAACAGTTCACTCACCAACTATTACAACTTCACTCTGTTTTGAGTAGTGATCTTTGACTATGAAAGAATTTTATTTGATGACTTTGGTAGTAGACTATATTCAATAAAATAATGTGCACACTGGGAAAAATATTCACGTATAACATTTATACATAAGCAAACATCGACACACAAACACAAAATCAATCGGGAATAAGAAGGTTACCTGTTGAAGCCTCTCATACTCCTGCTGGCTGAATTTTGTGATTTCAGCTTGCTCACCAAGTGCTGCTTGAAGTCTCCAAACCTAATGACAGAATTCTTTACAAATCTTTGGTAGGACACTAATGGAAAAATGAAATGAACTAAAGAGACGATGAGATCACCTCCTCAGCAAGATCCTTCTTTGGCATTTTCTTCACTATTTCTGGAGGATAACCCGAGAATGTGTCATATCTGAGTTACCAGCAATGGTACAATCAGCTTTTAGATCATATCATTTTAACCAAAACCCTTATTTATGGATCTGATTCTATATATTATACAACTGCAATAACTTATAATAGGTGCCTACAAACAGATCAATGGCTTCACCAATACATGCATATCATGAATTTAGACTATCTTCTTCTAATGACTTTACAATTTCATGGACACAAATTGTAGTATGCCAGATAGATCGAACTCAGAGACAGCTTATTTTGGAAACAAGTGATCAAAAGTTAGGCACAATAAACCATGTAGGCATGCATACATTTATGATATGATTGATAAAAAGAAAACATCTCACCCTGAAGCCCCAACTTGGAACAGTCGAGCCTGTTCTTCTCTGCTTGTTTCATCAATGGACCACCATCCAAGAAATCTGAAAACCACATATAGTAAACAGAAGCATTTCTACTAGAATTGGTCTTATATTGATATCAAAGATGTGTATAAGCCCATCTTTAAAAACTACCTGGAGCCATGATGAAGGAAACCAAAGCAATCATAAACTCTTGCTGAGTATACAAAATATAATCCTCTACCAGCTTCACTTCGCAGAAAAAGGAAAGTTTTCTCTACTGATCTGGTTATAGCAAGCACGACCCCAATTCCTTGCAATATAAAAATTGGAGAGAAGATAACCGGAAGAGGAATATTCTGAGCACTTGACGGGGTTCCCTAATCCAAAACCAAGGTAAATTGGTAAATGAAATCTTTCGAGGTTGAGTTGGTGAGCATTTTAAGCAACAATCAACCAAAGCAACAACAAATACCTCAAGCCTCATACAAAGAAGGATTTGGAAAACAATAATAGGGATTTTCATGATGTGGCCACCAAAATCTTGTAGGCTGCACATTCTGTCTTGTGATTGTTCCTCGGAGGATACCACTAAACCATTGTTCCAGTCCAGGTATCTAATACTGGAAGAGGAGCCTTCTTCTCTAGCTTGAGAATCTCCATGAATTATTGGGTTGGACCATTTGGTGCAGACAAGAAATGTAAAGCACTCAGCAATTCTATAACAAACACAATGAGCAGACTTTTTCAAACATGAGGAAAGTTAATGTAAAAGGTTAAACACAGTGGCTCCCAGGTTAGAAACATTACCCATAATTTATGAACAAGTCCCACCAGCTAAGACCATAAACATCACCTACAATATTGAACAATATCATGAATCATAAATACAAAGAGGTTTAGGATTCGTGGAACAGAACCAAGAAATTGTCTTATCACTAATCAAACACAAAATTAAGCCAACTTAATAATCCTTGTATGAAAGCCTTTGTGAACAGAATGAAGTCTTGGTGCAAAAAAATATAAAAACCAAGGGGAAACTAAAAATACGTCCAGAGCCATGTGAGTAAAGGGACCTGACAGTACTCAAGAAGTTCCATCTTTGGTGGAACAATGGGCAATATACACACTCAGACCCACTAAAAACTAAGGGGGGAAAATACTGTCCCAAATAATCAGCATAGACTGATCTTTCCTCATTTCATCTAGCATAATTTCACAATGCTAATATAAAAATGAGTACAATCATTTTTAGACTTATAACTATTTCAACTCCTCCAGAAACCTCTAACTTTGCATCCACAGACCTTTTCCCAGCCCAACCCTTCTCTTTCACACACAAAAATGCAGGTGGAAGCACTCTATCAAAAGTTGGGAACTCATTAGTAGGATTGAAATTATACCGTCCCTGTGCAGTTTAAACAGGCCTATGCCAGTTAAGTTCTCATCATGAAATCACAACAACCCCAACCAAAAACATAAAGCATCAGCAGAAATGCACCATCATGATGCACTTCATAGTAGTATATATATACCTTCAAGACCATCCATCTCAGAGAGTTTGGGATTCCCAGATATTAGTTAAGATATGGAATTAGACTCTGATAGTAGCAATCGGCACAACAAGTACAGAAACTATTTGAATTCTCCCTTCCAAACCAATCTTAAAAAGTGTAACGTCAATTGCCTTCCCAATAAAGGTATCCATTCAAGCCAAATTACTTGGTTGCTACTCAAAAGACACAAATAAGAGTTGGAGGTACAACTTGCATATCCCAGGATCTTCCAGAAAGACAAGGGAATTACAACATAAATATGTAAAGACTTCAAGACTCCTGCAGTATGATGGAAAAAAATGGGAAGCAGTAGTAAATAGATCAAGTATAAATCCCACTTCCACAAATAATATATTCACAATTTTTATCTTTAGGTTGTCTTTTCACATTTCCTAGGTATGGATGACAGGAAAAACTACGAAGGTTGTACATTCTGACCTAGAACCATAGTTTATGAGAGATGAGACTTACCACAAAGCTTCAGGGCAGTGAACACTGTAGCAGCAAGGAAGAAAACCATTGATATGGCAACCCAGAAATGCTGAGAATAAAATAATCATGAATAAGGAGTCCTCTACTGATTACTAATCAGATATTAAGAGTTAAATACAGACACAGAAGATGGTGGAAATTGCCCAACTAAAAAATGGACAAATATTAAAACAGAAGCAAACAAAACCACCAAGTTGAATCGTCTTTTTTCATTTAAGCGCAAAGCTTAAGGAATTGTTCATTTATTTGAACACTGAAAATTGTGCCTACAAGGTAGTAATACTTCAAGCTCTTCATCCTTAAGGATCTAGTAGAATGATTTGCTTGAGGTGTCAGAGGATAACGTTTCTTTTGAGAATTAGAAACCACATCCATTGCAACGCATTGGGTTCTACTTCATGTTAAAAATTGAATTACGTCAATTCTTTTTCCACCTTAACCTTTGTTGAATAGTTCCTTTTACTTTTCAGAACGATTCTGGTTGAGTGGAATCTGTCATGTTCATCTCCTTGCATCTCTAGTTTATAAATTTGGATAAATGAATATCTCAACCAACATGTAACTACGTCAACTCCCATTTCCATCGCAAAATCAGGTCATTTTGGCACCTAAATTAAGTTCACAGGTTTATTTGGACACCCAGTCAAGAGAAATGGAATGAGGTTGAAGGCAAAACAAAGTTAAAGATTTTGGTATGAATAGAAGTAGATGATGAGGTCTCACGCCTCTAAAACATTAAAGCATAAGTGCATGCATGTCACTAAAGTATACCAATGTAGAAATGGGAGAACATAAATTGGCAACTCTTAACAAAGTTAAGGACTATTGTATGAAAAGAAGTATATGAATGAGGTCTCACACCTCTAAAACTCAAGGCAAAATGCATCACTAGACTATGTTCTCCCATTTCTACATTAGCACACTATCAGGACACATGACATCTAGCTTTAGCACGTGGACAGTTCACAGTAGACATCATCCTCATTTCAAAACAATAATTTCTATGCACACTTTTTATTTAGCAGAAAAAATCTAAACAGCATATCACACAAAAATTGAATCCACCTTAATATGTATCTCGGTCACAGCAGCCTAAATAACTAAAATTTCTTTACCAAATGAATTAATCGTACTATACAACAGCAATTTCTTGCACTCTGGGAAACAAAATGCATTACCTTTTACATTCTAAAGACTTTTAAACCAAATATCCAACTCCTTGAAATTAACTTTTCCTCGTATACACAAAAAAGTAGAAAATCAACAATCACATCAAAAGAACATATAGAAAATATGTACACTATTCAAAACTGTGCATTTAACATCTAGTGGAACTAAAACTGGAGGTTAATTCCCTGATTCTAGGATGGCACTGCATTGAGCTGCTTCTTTTATATTATGCATTAAAAGCATTTATTACCTCTTTGATCTACTTAAAAAATGAAATTATACTTGAATAATTTAAACTAATTGAACTTCAATACAGGAGAAATCTATGTTATTGGCATTCTGAGAAAACAAATATATTATTTGAACTTGGTACGACTCTTCGAAACCAAGAAACTTACAGGAAGAGTCTCCCATATTGCCTCATCAGTCATACTTTCATCATCACCCGGTAACAATGCCCTGCACATTCTGATTGTAACATGAAAGAAGAGAACAGATGAATTTTTTTAGGAAGGAAATAACAAATAAACTAACAACTGAAAGTTAAAATAAATCAGAGAAAAAAAAAATGTAGGTTTTTGATAATTTCTAAGCTAAGAAGTATTTAAACAAGTATCACTATCTGATAATTAACAGAGAATAGTAACCAAGATTATATGATGGCATGCCAAAATATCTATTGGTTCAATTTATAAAGTGTCCTAATGAGCATGATTCACCAAGGTAACAAACATAAGACAAAATTCAAATAAAATACATAGTTAAAAAAAATAGTAATGAATAATGAAATCCTTGCTATCAATCCCCATAATATCTCCTCGCTGAGCTATACTTGCACTGAAAATAGCATGAATATGATACTAAAAGATGAAAAACATGATTATTAATAGCCACTAACTTTCCTCACCGCCCCCCACCCCCCGGCTTTTTTATTTTATTTTTATTTTTTAAGAAGCAGCATCATCCACAAAATGAAATTGTAATGACAAGAGCAAGGAGTTTATTAGCCGCTGAAATAAGTCCATTGACCTGAAAATGCTTTGTCAATGAAAAAATTAGAAGGAAATATACATCTAAGAAGTGAAAATTAATCCTTATGGCAAGACAGAGATTTAATACTAAGATATTTTAAGTACTGCACAATAACCCCATGGATGAATCTAAGGCATTTTAATTTGTATCAGATAAAGTGAACAAATGCAAACAAAAATGAAGAGGTGGAAACTAATCACTAACCCATCATATATAGGTCTCATAACCATCTAGTGGTTATGGAGAACAGGTTAATGGAAATAAAATTAAAAATGAAACAAATATCTGAGGAAGTAATTCTAAACAATACAGAAATCATCAGCAGAAAGAATTATTCTCCAAATAAGTTATACAATCCACAAAATTTTGACATTTGAACCTTAGTGTACTAGAAGTTACATATTACAGACAATGTTCATTGGTGAAAAGTGAAAATGTAGAGGCATCATACCTAAAATTGTCAATAAGAATAATGACTTCAAAGGCCACCAATGGAAGGAACACAACTTTCAGACTTACAGCAGCAGAACCATAAGCTGTATGTAAATAAGATAAATTGAAGACGAAACTATCAATAACTATTCAAATAGCATTGACAATACCCAACATCGAGTTCATAAGTGTAGAAAAGGAAACAATAGATGCTAAGCATGCAAGGGAGAAATTTTAACAGTTCAAATCAGTAGAATGTTTTGCAAAAAAAAAAAAGGGTTAAATAAAATTTATAGCACAAATACTATAAATTTTTGTGAAAAAAAATGCCTTAATAGCATCAGGAACATGAAAGGGTTTGCTCACTCACCATATAGACTCTCGAGATATATACAAAGCAGCAGTTCGAAGGCGACAAGCAATGGCATAGCAACTACAGCATGGCATGGAGCCCACTATTCACAACAAAATGAATGATAATAAAAAATATGCGAGCATAAGTACAAAGAGCCCAATACTTCATTACAAGAACGATGCAACATATAATAGCTGGCAGATTTTACAAACTGAAAGTTTCTTAAGAATGTGATAATAGAGAAAATCATACATTGCGATCATGAGGAACTGATGGGGCAGGTAGTGAGAATCTTCCGCGGGCGACAATTGCATTAAATAGGAACAGTGGGAAAAAAACATTCCTGCAGAAAAGACATTACATGTGGCATGTCATTAGAGAGTAACAAGGCAACTTCATCAATCAGTCTTCCTCCTTTCTGAGCCTTAAATCATTAGATTTCATATGCAGCTAGACTTAATTAAACAGATCCAAATGTGTCAAACCAACTTTCAATAAGATCCTGTTCAGCTTATCACCGATCATCACCAACACTTTACAAGCATTCAAAAGCATACAGAATATGCAACAACTGAAACAAACAATCATTTGCAATTCTATTCACATGTGAGGGGAACAAACATCGTAAATTCACAAAAAATTAAAACTCACAGAAATGATTTCCTGTACAAGTCCATACCATACCTTAGCTCATCAAAAAACAAGTAAACTGAGGCACATCAAACGACGACAGACAATAATAACTAAAAAAAACGTACCACCATGAATAGGAGGCGGTGTGATCGAGCTTGAGAACAAGCAAAAGCGTGAAGAGAAAAAGCGAAGAGTGCGCCGCCACGGCTTGCAGCGACTTGCCCAATCTTCTCCAGCTCATTTCGCCGCCCGCTGTATGCGCAAACAGTGCCAGAAACTGAGACACTGGTACCCTTCTGCCAAAAAAATCCCAACGACGTCGGTATCTGCTCGCAGATATTTCAGAGAGACAGATTTTACATGGCAAGGATTAAATCTGCTTCGAATTTTATCGATTTGGACAGCAATTTGAATGGGGATTGCCAAATTGGGCTAAAATGGAAAAACCTAGGCCAGAGATGACGCTGATGATGATGATTTGCTACGGCGGGTGGGCGGGCGCCACTGATCTATTACTATTATTTAGGTATTTTGTTAACAATAACAATAATAATAATAATAATAATAATAATAAGGAAATCATATTTTAACTGTTAAGTCACGGCTGACGGCGCCGGCGTAACGGCGTTGATTACTCCGTTAAATTTCTCACTGAATGGGGGCCACTCACAGTTTTCATCCTTAAAACACTTCACTATTTTATCTTTTTTATTGTGATTAATATTTTTTTATTTTTCATAAAATTTACTAAATAAAAATATGTTTAATAAATATAAATTAATTTAATTAATTAGGTTATCATAGGATACTATTCAAAATTGTTTTATCTCTTTTAAAAAATAAATAAGTATTTTATTTATATTTAAAAAAAAATTATAAAATTAATTTATATTAATTATAAATAAATAATTTTTTTACTTACTTTGTATTATAGAAAAAATTATTATTTACAAAATTATATTTATAGGGAATATGTTTTTATTGCAATATAAATTTTAAAATATTTAAATACATATTATAAATTTTTTTAATCATATATTGAATTTATTTTAAAACTATCAATATTATTAATTACATAAACAATAATAAAATGATTGTTATTTTAAAAATTATAAAATTAATATATTAAATTTTAAAATATATATTTACAAATAATGGCTCCAGGCATCATTTTTAGATAGATTAATTTTTTTTATGTGTGATATAAAAAATTATGTCAAAATATTAAATGGAGTATTATTTTAAATTAAATATTAGATTTTTTTTTTACCTTTTTTTTAATGAGTATTTGAAAGTTTTTTTTGACTTTTTTAATCTTTATAAAAAAGTATTTTATGTTGTTTACTACTATCTCCGTCCTATCTATTATGTCCACAACGCTATTTTTGTCCGTCTCACATCTCATATCATTTTCCTTTTTAAATTTCCGATCGAACTAGGTAACCACTGAGAAAACTCAAGAAATCAAGAAAAGGCAAGCAAAACACAAGGACACAAAGAAAAGAATTTGGTTACTCAATTCAAGATGATCTACATTTGGGGCGTTGCCAAACTATGAATTTTTTACTATAGAATATGCAGTCACGTGTTAAAAGTGAGAATACATGTTTATTTCTGGACCAAACTTATGTCAATAATATCTAAATCATATATCTAAAATATAAGATATACTCCTTTTGTCTCATAAATAGGTATCCATTTGCTTTTTGCAAGTAGTTTTAGAAATATTAGTATTATATTGAGATATAGTAGAAATAAAGTATAAATGACTAAAATAATTTTATTAGTATGATGTGATATAAATGTAATGTCATTTGTGTAATATATTGTAAGTTGTAAGAGTATTTGTAATGTTAAGTAGATATTACAGTTACTAAAAAAAAGAAATGGATACTTTGTTATGAGACGGACTAAAATGGAAAAATGAATACTTTATTATGGGACGGAATGAGTAATATTCAAATCATATTCCTAAATTTTAGAATATAATCAGGCTTCATATCTCATCACACTTAATCTCACCCCCGGATATGGTTCTAGAGGACATTCGCCATCAGCGTAACCAGACTATGTGCTGCTGCGGATGATTGATTGTACTCAATCTCTTCCACAGTGGGTTGCGAAGACATTTCTCCGACGATTTCCCTTATTTTTCAACATGGTGGAACATTTTGGTGAAGGTAACTTGCGACTTTGCAACTGTATTTACGTGCAAGACTCGTTGAAGTCTCACGGAACGTACCAATCTGTTATAGTTGAAAATTGTCGATGATAGTCTAATCGATTTTGGCCTATTAAAATCGATGTTAGTAGGAGTCTTCGATCTCCTAAAAAAAAAATTCAGGCTAATCTCGCAACAAAAATGAAAGCGCAAACAAATTCGGGCATGACGGATCGCGATTAATCAATCTGAAACTGATCGAATAAGATGAAATCTAATTAATAGAATGCATGAAAAATAAAACAACTTAGATAACAGTATGAAAAATAAAATGTAGAATGTAGTAACAATAAAATAAGACAATGTAACAAGAATATGGAAGATGGATCTGATTTGCATGAATTAAAACTATAGGTAGGAAAAAAAAAGAAAATACAAGAAAGGAATAAAAAGAAAGTAAAAAAAAATGGAATTTTGGAATCTTATATTGTGATGGACGTGTTAATGGTTGGACTTTGGACTCTCCTGAGCTGGTTTTGGATTGGAGATTTTGGGCCGAATTTGCAATAATTTTTTTTTTCTTTTATATTTTTATAAATAATTGTGTAAATAATATAACATCAAATATTATGTTAAATATTACTCCCTCCGACCCAGGTATAGGTATATTTTATGAGTGGTGTAATTAGTAGATAATTAAAAATATATTAGTGAAAATAATTATCCTATAATATAGATAATTATAAATTAAAATTAAGATAACTAATTAGTTTAATTAAAATTTTAAAAAAAATTAAAAAGTTTTAAATGAGATTAAAGTGTATAATAACGTAGACATGATATTTGAGAAAATATTATTATTATTATTTTTATTTGATGATAAAATATAATATATTATATATATATTGAAAATTATAAAAAAATAAAATTGAAATAACAAGCTAATCACATGTTCAAACACGGTTTTGTTGGATGCAATAGGGCCACTATAAGGGGTGTTTGTTTATAAATTTATGCCACTATAAGGGGTGTTTGTTTATAAATTTATACTTCATCCGTTCCATAAATATAGTTTTAATTATGTTTGATTCGAGATTTAAAGAATATTGATATTATATTGGTAGTGGGTAAAAAGTACGAATAAAAGATTTTTTTGCCCTGTGAGTGTATTAGCGTAAAAAAATAGTGGCAATTGTGTAATAAAAAAAAAAAAGTAGGAATAGTTTTACGGTGATATGATTATTTATGAAAATAAGAAATTGTTTTAGAACGAACAAAAATGGTAAACAAGACTATTGTATTAGGACGGAGGGAGTATATTTTTATTTTTTTATATTTAACTTTTAATATTTAATCTTTGTTTTTTTTTTACTATTATTTGATTTTTATAATTTTTATGTTATTTAAATTTCATAAAATATTATATCTAAATTATTATTAAAATAGGTGATCAAACTAAAATTATAACTAAAAATACAATAATATATATATTTTTATCTAATTTATCATTTTTTAATAATCGATATATTTTTTTTCAACTACCAATATAGCTTATTCTATTTATGTGTCTATTTTTATTTTTATTTTTTCTTACATTTTTCAACTGATGTTTTATCAAACAAATGAATCAATTCTCATTCTCTGATAAATTCTTTTTTCTTGCAATTTTATTATATATTATCATTTCTTTGTACCTAAAGGCTAAAGGTATGTTTGGTACATATAAATGATGTTAGAAAAATATAAATGATATCATTTATTTAATTTTTATAATACCTCCGTCCGGCTATAAGGTCTCACTCACTTTTTGCTTGTTGATATTTGAATATATATTTATTAAATTATATTATTTCAATTTATAAAGTATCACATTTAATTTATTATTCAAATATTTATTTTTTTACTATATTTTTAAAAAATTATACTAAAATTTCATCTTAAAAATATTGTACATAAAATTTATTCTTTAAACAAAAAAATCACAATTTTTTTTTTTTTTTTATAGATTCTCACAAGTCAAAATTTTTTATTGCCCAATTAATTATTTATTAAACTTATTTAAATTTTTTATTTTATCCAACAAGAGAATTAATTCTCATTTTTTACTATTTTTTTTTTTTTGTGTAATTCCATTATTTATACCAAAAGCCCTAAAAGGTGTGTTTTTTTAAGCTATTTTCTAAATAATGTTTTTTTGAATATATATATTTTTCATAAAATATTTAATAATATTATTTTAATGATAAATTTAAAAAAAAATATATTTTTTCAAATCAAAATTTTTAAAACACCTCTTAATCAAACTTTATGCGTACGTTACCATTTAACTCCGTTTCAAGTTAACATATAGTGGTGTTTAATCTGATGCCATTAAAATTGATTAAGAATATGTAATGAAACAAAATTAATAATTAGGATATATCAAAATAATTTTTTCCCCCAACGAAAATGAAAAGGCGCACGTTAGCGCGGAGCCTGCGCATGCGCGCTTCTTCCCGCCATTACTCTCGAAAACCTATACTCCAATCGACTGTGTACTGTCTGCGAATCATCTGGGAGCTTTACGATTGAGTGGGTAGCCGAAAGGAACCGAGGCTCTTGGCGAGGGTTTTATTTTTCATCTTCACTAACTGTTGGAAGTTGAGAGCATTTTTCGCAATGGGCGACAATTTTGAGGAGCCGACCAAGCTTCCCGAACTCAAACTCGGTACAGAAAAGCCCTACTGTTTGGGGTTCAGATCAATTTTTATTTTATTAATTTTTATGTCGCAGTTGAGATATTTATTTGGTATCGATGTTTTGCAGATACCAAGCAAGCTCAAGGGTTTCTGTCGTTCTTTCGAAGCCATCCCAGTGTAACTTTTATTTTAATGTTTTGCTGTGGATGAATAATTATGCGCTGCTTTAAATACAATTGTCAGTTCGGAAGCAATGGTTGGTGACGCATTTTTATTCTGTTTATGTGCAGGACCCTAGAGCTGTCAGGTTCTTTGATCGTCGGGTTAGTGTCTATTTTCTCTTCATTTCAATGTTGTGAAGCTTGTGTTTGCCTTACATTGAAGGCAAATGCTTTGATCTTCCTATGTTATTGAATGTCTGACCTTTTCTTGATGCAATGAGAGACTTCTGTTCAAGAATGGCGTAGTGATTGAAGAAAGGCTATGATGGCTGTGTCTAGGATGTGGTTTGGGATGTTTTGAAGTGAAAATAGGTGTTTGAAGTGATGATTGAATGAAAATGTGTTGCATGTTATGATTTTTCAGGAGAAAAGAAAATGTTTTCTCTGGATTGCATATTGCGAAAACAAGTTTCAAAACACAAATAAACAGACCCTAAGAATGTACAATGGTAGATTGATCGTATAGCTTGAGTTGAACTACTGAGATTATATATTTGTTGTTTTCTTTATTTGCCTGAGTAGATATTTTGTTCTGGAGCCCTAACAACAATCACACTCAAGTTAGTTACAGTATGATTGGGTTGAAGTAAACAACGACATGTATCATTGACACATTTAGGTTGGACGAAACCTGAAGCTCAAACACTTTTAACTCAGAGAATGAAGTGAGCCAAGCGACTGTATGTTAATAGCTCAGCATCACTAGATGATAATATAATGGGATCATGAGTTGTCAAAACAATTTATATAACTCTGCTTAATTGCTTCTGCATATTATGTGGTGACTAATGATTGAAATTAACATTCTAAACACCATTGAATTGCCACCTCCGATATCTTCATCTTGAAGCTCCTTTTTCTTTCTCTATTAGAGTTTTAGTTTTCACTAATTAAATTCAATGTATGAGCTACTTTCATTATTCAAGGGCTTTCGGCCATCTTTTTTGCAGGACTATTATACCGCACATGGTGATGATGCATTTTTCATTGCAAAAACCTATTACCACACTACAACGGCTGTGCGTCAACTTGGAACTGGATCTGATGCCATTCCTAGTGTTAGTGTTAGTAAGACCATGTTTGAGACGGTAATTAGAGACATTCTTTTGGACAGGACCGATCGCACTCTGGAATTATATGAGGGCAGTGGAGCAAATTGGAGACTTGTGAAAAGTGGAACACCTGGAAATTTAGGCAGTTTTGAAGAAATTCTATTTGCTAATAATGACATGCAAGACTCTCCTGTCATTGTGGCTTTGATTGCAAATTTCCGTGAAGATGGATGCAATGTTGGATTGAGCTATGTTGATCTCAGCAAGAGGGTACTTGGCTTGGCAGAATTTCTTGATGATAGCCACTTCACAAATGTTGAGTCAGCACTTGTTGCTCTGGGTTGCAAGGAATGCCTTATGCCTGCTGATATGACTAAGGCTAATGAATATAGACCGTTGAATGATTCGTTTTCAAGATGTGGTGTTATGGTGACAGAAAGAAAGAAAAGTGAATTTAAAGGAAGAGATTTGGTACAAGATCTTGGTAGGCTTGTGAAAGGTTCTATAGAACCTGTAAGAGATCTAATTGCTGCATTTGAAAATGCACCAGGGGCTCTAGGGTGTTTAATGTCTTATACTGATTTACTTGCAGATGAGAGCAACTACGGTAACTACAAGATCCAGAGATATGATCTTGACAGTTACATGAGATTAGATTCCTCTGCCATGAGGGCACTGAATGTCATGGAAAGCAAAACTGATGCAAACAAAAATTTTAGCTTATTTGGCCTTTTGAATAGGACCTGTACTGCAGGAATGGGCAAGCGTTTACTACACATGTGGCTGAAACAACCTTTATTGGATATAAATGAGATAAACTATAGGCTGGATTTGGTGCAAGCTTTTATGGAGGATGCTGGCACACGTGTTGATGTGAGGCAGCTTTTGAGAAGAATTTCAGATATAGAACGTCTTACACGCTCTCTTGAGAAGAAAAGAGCAAGTCTTGTGCATGTTGTTAAGCTTTATCAGGTATTCTTTTTTCTGTTTGTTACACACTCAATACTGGAATGAATTTTTCCCTATTTATTAGAAAGGATAATTCATATTGATTACTTTTTTATGTAAGGATTTGGGATTAAGTGTTGTTTTTCAAATTTATGTGACATTCTTTCGACATAGTTATTTGAAATTTGTATGGCTATATCTTGTGTCTACTATTCGTTCAATCTTTATCTACCATCACTTTTGCAATAAATTTCCGTAACAAGGGGAAAGTAAAATAATGTTTAGTCTTCCTCGTTCCCGTTCCCTTATGTATTGTGTTCCTTGTTTATCCCCTAAACCATATGCTGGCCACACCTTACCCTATCTCTCAGAGCTCATCTTAATTGTTATACACTACATGTGTACGATGATGAAAACGCGCCTTCATTGGCATTTTCAACTCAAATTCAAAAAATCTAGAATTACTAAAATAGCATTCGTCATCCGTGTGTGTGTCTGTGTATTTGTGTGCACACATGTTAAGTTTTATCTGTTTCATTATTGTTATGCAGACCTAATTTTTGTACCATTTGCAATGATTCTAGGAACAATCATACCAAAAGTATGTTTGATGGATTAAATTATCTAAAGCGAGGGTTCAGATTCAAGAACTACTTGATCTGTATAATTAACTAAAAGATCAATGTGTTATTGTTTGGACTTGTCTTTTCATGTCTCAATAGCTAGAATTTGTTTCTCTTCATTGTGATCTTTTTGCTTTCATTTTTATTTTATCTTATGTTATGTTTTCATATAATTTCTATCCTGTAGTTCAATAACAGTCATCTATCATGCTTTGCTGAACTGCTTGCTAAACAATTGCTAATAATCTTGTAATAATTCAATCCATGTAATGTTACAAGTTTCTTTCTTTGATATGCAGTCAACTATTAGGCTCTCCTTCATCAAAAGTGCCTTAGAGAAGTACAGTGGCCAGTTCGCATCATTGATCAAGGAAAGATATTTGGATCCTTTAGAACTGTTTACTGATGATAATCACTTGAATAAGTTTATTGGCCTTGTGGAAGCTTCCGTTGACCTTGATCAACTTGAGAATGGAGAATACATGATTTCGTCTGGGTATGATTCCCATTTAGCGACTTTGAAAAATGAGCAAGAGTCTCTTGAACGTGAGATAAATGATTTGCACAAAAAGGCTGCTAATGATCTTGATCTCTCTTTGGACAAAGCTTTGAAATTGGAAAAAGGGACACAGTATGGTCATGCTTTTAGGATTACCAAAAAGGAAGAGCCAAAAGTAAGGAAGAAGTTGAATACACACTTTATTGTTCTTGAAACTCGGAAGGATGGAGTGAAATTCACAAACTCGAAGCTTAAGAAACTAAGTGATGACTACCAAAAGGTAGTTGAGGAATATAGGAACTGCCAAAAAGAATTAGTTGCCAGGGTAGTTCAGACTGCCGCATCTTTTTCTGAGGTATCTATGTTTCAAATTATGAATTCCTTGTTGTTATTCTGCATTTGTCTTCTTTATGGGCTATTGTCACCCCTACTAGTACAGTGATAATTGTTGTGGTAATTATTGGTAGAGTTACTTAAATAGCATTTAGTCTCTTCTTTACTGTTAGAACCTTTTCTGTGGTGGTGTTGTGAGCTAGGGCACACAGGAGGTCCTATGTTTGAAATTCTCATGTCATGTCAATAGGAGTGGTCGTGCTATAATAAATGGCAAATATGAGATATTCATTGTCTTATTAATAATTATGCTTTCTTGGTGTAGGTGTTTGAAAAAGTAGCTGGTTTGCTCTCTGAGTTGGATGTTTTACTTAGTTTTTCTGATTTAGCTGCTAGCAGCCCCACTCCTTACACGCGCCCACTCATTACTCCATCGGTAATAATTCATTTAGTCATCTGATTGTTACTTTGCAAGACATGTGAACATGCTTACTTCTCAGGATGAGGGGGATATTATCCTAGAAGGGAGCCGGCATCCTTGTGTTGAAGCTCAGGATTGGGTGAACTTCATCCCTAATGATTGTAAACTAGTAAGCTCACGTACATGGAGATAAACTATCTTTTACAGACAATGTTGAAATTTTTATTACCCATTCTGTTGTTGTCGATTTGCTTTTATTGTTTATTTATTTTTTCTTTTAATTCAGGTTAGGAGTAAAAGTTGGTTCCAGATCATCACAGGACCTAATATGGGTGGAAAATCGACATTCATAAGACAGGTTACCGACTAGTGAACTTTTCCTTTCTCTTCCTGTCTTTGTTTCCTTTAATAAGTTAATTGAGATAGTGATGGGGATGCGAGATTAACATGATCATGTTTTTGAATTATTATTTAACTTGCTCTCATGGTCCATTACAAATATGATAGTACAAAAGAAAGCCTTTTTTTGTATTTATTGATTATATTAATTGCATTTGTATAAACACAAAAATAAATGACATGAAAACAATAATTTACTTATCACTTAGTCATCTATTAGCCTCTAGGCATCACCAGCTCCGACCTGGAATTTTGCCTTTGTCAAGTTACTATAGGGTTCAATTCGTAATTGCAGTGCACCTTTAAGTATTTCCAAATACACCAGTTTGGAAATAATGTATTTGTCTCAAACCGTTCCCAGTTAACTTTTTTTATTTATGTGCAGGTTGGTGTAAATGTTCTGATGGCGCAAATTGGCTCATTTGTGCCTTGTGACAGTGCTAGTATTTCTGTACGCGATTGCATATTTGCTCGAGTTGGTGCTGGTGATTGCCAGGTTAGCTTATATAGTATGGAATTGGGATTTGTTGAATATAAACTTGTTGAATTTGATGGACATACTTTCAAGCTGCTTACACATGTTGTTTTATGTGATTCTATCATCACACAGAAATAATCATTGCCAGTTTCACACAAGTACTGTGTTTATTGTGTTACGAATAAACTTTCTTCTTCTGTAACTCTACATTTTGTCTTATATAGCTGCGTGGAGTTTCTACTTTCATGCAAGAAATGCTTGAGACTGCGTCAATCTTGAAAGGAGCAACTGAGAGGTCCCTAATAATAATTGATGAGCTAGGTCGTGGCACATCAACATATGATGGATTTGGTAAGTGTTGAAGTTTTCTGCGATGTGTTCTCTGTGACATGGCATACCCTTACCTCGCTGACCCTTGATCATAAGATAGAGATATGTGTGCACAAGAGCATGCATTTTGGGTGTGTTCTTTTTGCAAAAAAAATTAATATCACACATTCATTATTTTTATACACCTACACAATTTCCTATATCTCATAAAAATTATTCCTTCAAACCATTTTACAAAACAAACACATTTTTTTAGAGTTTTAGTACAAAGCATAGACTTTCATGTATCATATATATATATATATATATATATAAGCGAAAAACTGTGGGTTATTCTTAGGGAGCCCTGACTTATTATGGAAATTAGTTGATAGGATAAAGTTGATGACCTTTCCTTGGCATGAGTAATTTGGGTTCACCCGTATGAGTTATACATAACCTTTTTCGATCACATGATAATGCTTTTGTTTTAAACAGAAATAAGATTGTGATGAAATCGTTTTAATTAATTGTTGTGGATCTTGTTTGCTGTTATGGGGGTTGCATCTTGTTTGCTGTTATGGGTTGCATCTTCATCACCTTGTGAAGAATATGATCTTGAAGAAAGATACAAGGAAACTCTAATTTGTGATGAAATTCTCTTAGTTGTTTTGTACTCCCATGCTATCGACTTTTAGGTTATTTCATTGAGAATTCCTTAATTTTGATTAGAATTCTGTTGATCTTAGTTGCACCTACAACTCACCTTTCAATGTAAAACAGGTAAACTAATCTCACTTTTATTATGATTATTATTATTGTTATTATGTTAAAACCAGTTGGATTGTACATGGCTGTAAAAGTAATCTCACTTTTCGATTGATTGTCCTACTTGGCTTATTTATTTGTCTACTTATTTTTTCTTCTACTTGTTTCAACCTGGTTTCATTTCTCTTCCGGTTCTTAGCTTTAAATTTTGTGCACTTTAATAAGAATGTTTGCACTTTTGTGGTGCAGGTCTAGCTTGGGCCATTTGTGAGCACTTAGTTGAAGTGATAAAAGCACCCACACTTTTTGCAACTCACTTTCATGAGCTGACTGCATTAGCTCAAGAAAATACTAGTGATCAATCTTCAAAGAAGCTTGCAGGAATAGCTAATTATCATGTTAGTGCACACATCGACTCATCAAATCGCAAGCTTACCATGCTTTACAAGGTCTTACTCTCTTCTTATAATTTGAACTTGTGTTATTATCATCTCATGCAATGGTGGTGGCCTATGAAATTGTCTGCTAGTTAATTTCTATTAATAGTGTTATACAACTAGCAAATGTGTTATATTTTAACCAAGTATGTAAATAACGGAATGGCTTGTTTCACTCAATTTCTTTCACTTGTTTTCAGTTGATTTATTATTGTGAACATTTATCGTGTTCAAATTGTTTTCCAGGTTGAACCAGGGGCCTGTGATCAAAGTTTTGGGATTCATGTTGCAGAATTTGCTAATTTCCCAGAAAGTGTTGTTGCACTTGCTCGGGCAAAGGCATCTGAATTGGAAGATTTTTCACCCAAGTCAAATTTGCCCCAAGATGTACAAGAGGTATAATAGCATTCATTCTGTTATAATTAATAGCTCTAAAAATTTTCGCATGTCACAGTGTATTTAAAGATTATTATTAGCTGCACAATCGTTTTTGACTTTTTGCATATGAAGCAACTAATCACATTGAAAATTGGTTTTGCTTTAATCCTGTTAAATCAATTAATGTTGTTATGTGTAACATCGATTCAGGTGGGATCTAAGAGAAAACGAGGTTGTGACTCTGATGACGTTAGTAGGGGCATTGAACGAGCCCGGCAGTTTCTGAAGGACTTCTCTGAAGTAGCATTAGAGCAGATGGAGTTGAAAGAAGCTCTACATCATGTCGGAAAACTTAAAGAGGAACTGGAGAAGGATGCCGTAAACTGTGTGTGGCTCCAACAGTTCTTCCTCTAGTAAAGAATACAATCTGATTTTTTTTTGATATTTATATAGATGCTGAATGAAGCAGCTTGTTATCTATGGAGTTTAGCTTTTGGGTATGTCCTAGGAAAGGAACAGCAGATCAAATTGCACATGGATGGATGGATGTATGAAGTTTCTCTTTTTGGCAGCAACCAGCTTCAATGCCAATATGGATTAGACTAGAAGGTAATTGAAACTGAAACTGATACTGAAATGAGGTAGGTCACCTTTTTAGTTTTATACTTAAGTCTGTGTGTTGTGTCGTGCTGTGCTTTAGGGGCCGTTTCTTTTGGTTGAGTTTAGAAATTTTTTGTTTGGATTTAGTATTAAAATAATGTTTGATGTGATGTTTTGTAAGAGAAAAAAATATGTATTTTTTTTTCAAAAAATGCAGAATTTAAATAGAAATATTTTAAAAAATTGGTCTAAAGAAAAAGACCCTCCGTTTGCATTTGTTCTTTTTATGCATCTGCCACTCGTATTATAAGTATAGTTTTTTTTTTTTTTTTACAAATATTTTTCTATTAGTATTTAAAAAAATTAATGAAATTATTTTTGAAATTTTCTTTTTTTTTTTAATTTGTATTTCATTTTGATATGATAATTAATATTCAAAGATCAACGAAGAAAAAAGTAAATAAGATCTTTAAAAGAAGTAGTATATTTTAAGCAATAATATAATTATATAAAAAAATTGATTGTGAGATTAGAATTTTAGATAATAAAATTTTTAATTGAATACTTATTTGCAATATAAATGTTTAATAAAGTAGTATTTTGAATATAAAATTACATTTTTAATTTAAGAAAAACTAGAATAATAAAAAACTTTATAACCAACTACAACTGTATTTACAAATTACTAGTTATATTATTATTATTATTATTATAATATATGTAAAAATAATAATATGAAAGAATTTTGATTTTATTAATATTGTTACAGAATTAATACTTTTGTCATGATTTTTTACATAGCAGTAGCTAGTAGAGGTGTGTTTACTTGTGTAATTATAGTTTTGGTTTTACTATTTCAAAAAAAATTTCCTTAAAAAAACATAAATTCAAATGCTTACTTTATAGTTATTATATTACACTAAAATTTAATTTTATCTTGAAAATATTACATCGATATATATTTATGGTCCATCAGACTACTATTTCAATTCAAATTTTTATTATTCAAAACCAAAACCAAAACTAAGGGTATGTTTCTATTGACGTTGCACTGTTGGTCTACAAATTGGCACGAGACTCCACTGCCCTCTCTCAGGGCCGGTTCTGACTTTCGAATAGCTCGTGGTGAAATAAAAGTTAGAGGCCCTTAAATATATATATATATATATATATATAATACTCTCTCCGTTCGTCTTTAAGGGTCATATTTATCTTTTGCGTCATTGTATTTAACCTTAAAAATATCTTTATATTTGTATAATTTTTTTTTGTACAAATGTCTTTTTATTAGTATTATAGGACAACTAATGGAAGTATTTTTGCAATTTTTTTCTTAATTTGTACTACATTTTGATATAATAATTAATATTCAAATATCAACACGCAAAAACTAAATGAGACCTTAGAGCCGGACGGAGGTAGTATTTTTTTATCTATAATAAAAAAACATTTTTTTAGTATTCTTATGCAAAAAATATCAATAATAATAAAACAAAATTGTTCATAATTCTCATATACTTTTGAAACTTAGCATAAATTATTTATGTATTTTAAAAATTATGTGGAGTCTCTTTATACTTTAACAAATGTTATATGAAACTCTTACCATGCAAAAAAAAATACAATCGAGAAATCATCTTTTCATTGTCCAAAAAATATGAAAATGAGTTTTATGCAACATATTTGAAAGTATATGAAGACGTCATGCAATTTATAAATTATAGGGAGGATTTACGCTGAATTTCGAAACAACAAGAGAGTTAATGACAATTTTGTCTAATAATAATAATAATAATTTTGTCTAATACTTATTTTCTTCTTAATGCAAAAAAAATTTAAATTAAAATAAAAGATCCCTGAATATATATAAATGATATACTCTTTCTTTTTTACCTATAATATAATATCAATAATTAGATAAAATAATTATTTCTAGTATTTTTAGATAAAATATCAATAATAATAATAATATTAATTTTGTTTAACCAATATTTATAAATAATATATTTTTTTATTTATAATAAAATATAAATAATTGAATAAAATAATTGTTTTAACATTTTTATATGCAAAATATTAATAATAGTATTAATTAATATTAATTTTGTCTAATGTATAAAAAATTATTTTTAAAATTTGAAGGTAGTTGGATTTGATTATCCAAAACTTCAAAAGTAATATATGTAACACTTAACCATAAAACTATATTACTCTATTAACATAATAAAATCAAATAATATGTATATATAAATATTGTATATATAACAGAAATATATAACTGACTCCTATTTAAATTGGGCTCTGGGCGGACACCCTTCTCGCCTGGGCCCAGAGTCGGTCTGCCCTCTCTGTCCGACAACTAGGGAAGTTTTTTCCCTTTTTATTTTTTTATTTTTTTTATTTAAATTCGAAAATTACAAAGGTCTGTGCACGACCCTTACATATTAATTATGTGATCATTATACTAATTATAGTTTACTAAAGTGTATATATATATATATATGATATATATGTCATTTTATAGAAAATAAAATTTTTTATTATACAAATAAATAAAATTTTCAAAATATATATGTTCACATAATATAAATGCATAATTAAATTATTATATTTATTACTAATCAAATCAATATATATCAAAATTCCTAGAATCCAAACCAAACCTACACACAAAAAGAAACTACTTAGCTCCGCCCCAGATGATTATATTATACATGTTTTGATGTGGTTCCCCCGTGTGTTTATGCCTCAAGCTACAAGCCATGCATGTTTAGAGTGTCCGGCAAATCACGGAGATTGATAGTATATTGTTTTTGAAATTTATATTTATTTTTTGTGGAATTATACATGAACTATCAATTAAGGGTGTGTTTTTTTAAAAGATTTGGTCACATTTTCACTATTCACTAAATTTTTTCTTCAAAAAAAAATTAAATCAAACACTCATTTCTTATTTTTTTTTATAAATATTATATTAAAATTTATTTTGCAATCTATTTATATCATATTATAACTATTCAAATTCAAAATTTTTATTATTTAAATTTCTACCAACATTCAAACTCCCAAACAAACAAGCCCTAAAGACATTTCCTAGTCAACTTTTCAAAATATATTGATATGGTATCCATTCCCACGCCTTGTCCTTCCGAGGCATATTGGTTAACGGCGCCGTGATCACTTAGTGTCCCTTGATGAACCGCCAGTAGTAATTTACCAAATCAAGAATTTATTCTTTACATTAATATATAAATTTTTAGTTTTACCTACAATATGAATATATTTTTAGCGGTTAGAAAAGTAGTTAAAAGTAGGTTATTAATGATAACACCATATTAATTATAAGCTGAATGAATTAATAAAATATTAAAAATAAATATAAAAAAGAATAGTGTATGTTAAATTTTAAGGAAAAAATTTGATATAAAAAATAATATTTATATTGAATTACAACTTTTTAGTAAATAGAATATATATTATATATATTCTATGGATATATATTATATATTTTTTAATATTTATTAAGAATCATATCATAGAAAAGAAATATGTTAGATGAAAACACACCTTTTCTATTTTGATATTTTTGCTTTATTTTAAAAATAATAAAATTTTGATTTAAAATAATTATTTAATATAATATTTTTGTTAAAAAGTTGAAAATAAAACACTATGTTAGTTTGAAAGATAATCATTTATTTTAATGTGAATTTAACAAATATTTATTTGTTTCCAATCTAAAGTAGCATTTTGAATTCTTAAAGTAGTTTAAGAAATAATACTTATTTGTTCCACTTTCTATGTCTAGTTTACCGTATATATGAAATTTTAGGTAAAATATAATTAGTAAATAATTAAAAAATGTATTAACAAAAATAATGATTATATAATATAGTTAATTATAGATTAAAATTAAGATTAATATAGTAAATTAATTTAATTAAGATTAAAAAAATAATTGATTATAAAATTTAAAATGTTATTAGAGTGTCCATTTTTAAAAAAAGAACAACAAATTATATGACACTAAAAAAAATTAAAAATAGTGGACAAATAAAGTGAGATGAAGAAAATATTATTTTATTGGTTAGTGGAAATGTGTAAGATGATTTTGAATATTTTTCACTTTGTATTTTATGTAAAAATTAATTGTATATGTAATAGTATATTTGTAATTTATTTAAAAGTCAAAGAATACTATTGAGACCTTATGTATTTTATTTCAACCTCACTACGGTTTGGCCCACTACTCACCATCGTCAAATGGTGATTGTGTTAAAATAAGCTCTTATTTATTATGTGTTTTATTTATATTTGTTGATGTAATTTTTCAACAAAAATAAAGTAAAATTCAAAGATATAGAAAATATCCTTAAACTTGATTAATTAGTGCCTGAGATTAGGAATCTCTAAACACTGTACGGTACAGAAAATAAACTGGAAAATAAAAGACTGAAATTTAAAGTGGTGATCCCCAAATCTGACTTTGCTTTGTTGAAGTTGATTGAAGATGCCTTGCCAAATGATTATCCAAGCCTTTAAATATCCTCTGGGAAACCGTACCGAAAACCGTCACCCGAACGGTTACAACGTCTCCTTCCAAACCGTCTTCCAACCCTTCTCATGCTGACACGCGTCCTCAGCAGACCAAAATTATCCCTATATTTCACTCTTTGAGCCGACCCCAGACCTTCCGCTCTTTTGGCCCGACTACCAATCTACAATAGTATGGGTCCGACCGCCAATCCTCCCGACTTGCGAACCATCTGACTTGAGGTCTTTCCGCCTTGAGGACTTCCCGACCTGAAAACCTTCCGACTTGAGGTCTTTCCGCCTTGAGGACTTCCCGACCTGAAAACCTTCCGACTTGAGGTCTTTCCGCCTTGAGGACTCCCCGACCTGAAAACCTTCCGACTTGAGGTCTTTCCGTCTTGCGGACCTCCCGACCTGAAAACCTTCCGACTTGAGGTCTTTCCGTCTTGAGGACCTCCCGACCTGAAAACCTTCCGACTTGAGGTCTTTCCGTCTTGCGGACCTCCCGACCTGAAAACCTTCCGACTTGAGGACCTACCGCCTTGAGGACTTCCCGACCTGAAAACCTTCCGACTTGAGGTCTTTCCGTCTTGAGGACCTCCCGACCTGAAAACCTTCCGACTTGAGGTCTTTCCGTCTTGAGGACCTACCGACCTGAGGTCCT